AAGAAAAAGGGTCGCAAACAACATGCTTATTTCACAAGAAATTTAAATTACATTAACGGATACATTTAAGTGATAAATGTTGTAAATTTACCAAGATAAGTGGGAAATTTGAGAGAAAAGTGACAGATTTCCAAGAAAAGTTACAAACATATACAAGATAAATGTGGAAAATGAATAAAATGGCAAATTTCAGAGGAAAAAGTAGCAAATTTACCACAAAAATGAATAATGTATGAGAAAACCTCTGTATCTGCGCCTCTGTTTTTCAACTCTAAAAGTTTGAGTTTTCACTCCTCTCACTCAGACCCTTTTTTGATTTATCTACTTCCTTTAATTTATTTAGTTTTTTTTTTTACCTTCAGTGACCCTAATTTGCTGTCATGAACAGAGAATGATTGTTTCCATAGTAACACTATCCATAGTAATACTTGAAATGTGCAATTCACTTGTATTTTTATTTTTTATTCCTATTTATTCCCTTTGTATACTTTATTTATATTTGTCTCTGTATTTATATATATATATATATATATATATATATATATATATATATATATATATATATATATATATATATATATATGAATAACATTTCTGTAACTGTAACTTCGGTCGTTGCTGTGCTTTTTTTGGAAGTCGAATTTCCCAGAGGAACCCACCCGAGGGATTAATAAAGTTCTATCTTATCTTATCTTATCTTAACAATGTGGGGTGAATTCATCCAAAAAAAAAAATCTTAAGCAAATGAAGGAAAAGAAAAGCCTAGGTTTTTGACTTTATAAAGTATTGAATCAGCGTTAGTTTACAGTAGCATTTGCCACAAAGTCAAGCCCAATGTTTCTACAGGCTAATCTTCTTTTTAAGGCTCTTGTAGCCTACTTTTGCTTCTGCAAGGCGCTTTGCAACCCACCTCCACCCCATCTCTACCTTTATCTGGTGTTCCTGACTTCAACCCTGATCATTTTTATTTATTTATTTATTTTTTAAAAACACACAGAGGCAAACGAAGTCCAGTTCTTTTACACAGGCAGAAATTGTTTTTGGAAGCGATAAAATGAGGATGGGTGAAGGAACTCTATGGCAGGTGTTTTGGTTACACAAATAAAGGAAAGACAGTTGAGACAAGTAGACGGATATTCAAACTGATGTTTAGACAGACAAGACAAGAACACAGACCAACAAACACTCGACATAACCATTAAAAGGACTGAGTAGCAGTTGGGTAGCTCTCTTCTCCATGTAAGCGTCCTTCTTAGGTTTAAAAAGCATCAAAAGTTACTGATAAACTTTGAGAGGAATCTGCCGGTGAAGTGAGGTAACCAACTGAGTCTTAACTCATTCGAGCATCACCTTCGAGACCGCCTCTAGCTCGCCTCGTTATGCAGAGGAAGCAGGTGATGAGTTTTCAAACCACACATGGGCAAAACTGATTTTAGAGATTCAATAAAGTAAAACACTGAATCTGAGAAGCTGTGGATGTATTTCCCTAGAGCTGCGTAACATCAGCCATGTCTCCACATTTTAAAGTGGACATTTGTCCTTCTGAATTTTGAGAAAGTCAGAAATGTGCTTGTCTGTGGTTCCTGTTTGTAATATACATGTAGAGGGGGTACTAACAAGCATCACTCAGGCACTTTGGCACAAAAGAAAACTTTGACATGCACTGATGTGTGGACGCAGAAGGAAATTATATATCTCTTTTCTCTTACAGACGTGTGCCAACAAGGACTGAAAAATTAAACTGACCAAGTACCTCAAACGTCTGCCTGAGGCTGACTTCAACAGCGAGTCAGTCACCAGACTGCCATGCTAAAATGTCCATCATTACAGCAAAAATAAACATGTTGACAGCCTGGTTTCAGTCTCTTTAACCAACAACTGCATGCGGCTGAAACTGGCTGCTTTGACGTGCAGACTTCACCTCCACTAGTCTGAAATGGAGCCGCTGACAGTGTTTGTGCTGATGTTCTGACAGGACTCAACCAAATATTATGGAAGCTTGTTATCGCCCCTGAAAAAGCAATTTTCGTGAAATTTAAAAATATTTTTTTCCTCACAAGCCTGAGCTCCACGCAGCCATTTCTTACTGCATGACAGATTCAAGACAGAGGTCACGGAGGCAGCAGTCTGAGCAGAGACGTCTGGACTTTCTTCACCAGGACGCTCTAGGCTGCAGGTCGATGATCGATTTTGTAATCGTATCACCAGACCTGCGACCATATGTTCTGGACACTCGGGTAAAGAGAGGGGCTGAGCTGTCAACTGATCACCACTTGGTGGTGAGTTGGATCAGGTGGCGGGGGGAGGATGCTGGACAGACCCGGTGCACCTAAACGTGTAGTGAGGGAGTGCTGGGAATGCCTAGCAGAGGCCCCAGTCCGCGAGATCTTCAACGCACACCTCCGGCAGAGCTTCAACAGCATTCCGAGGGAGACGGGGGACATTGAGTCTGAATGGACCATGTTCAGCATCTCCATTGCCGAAGCTGCTGCATTGAGCTGTGGCCGCAAGGTGGTTGGTGCCTGTCGTGGTGGTAATTCCCGAACCAAATGGTGGACAACAGAGGTGAAGGGAGCCTTGTTGAGACTAGTAGTTAAACATATGCCATTTTATGACCAGTAGTCAATGTAGTAAATTAGGTTAACAGCTGTAGGCCATATATTATCCTTTAGTTCTGATGGTGTGCTATGTATGTAGTTTAGTCTTTATTATACTCTTGAATAAAAGAAACATAATCATTTTGTAGTTCATTAGATAAAGTGTGTATTACTCTGTATCCTTGATCAGCTGTGAATGTCTTACACTGTTTTCTTGAAATGTTTTATTGCTGAATCATGTGAAGAAGGCTGTAAGCAGGGGACTAGGTGTCTGGGCAGAAGAGATAAAACCACATTCCTTACCCCCCTTCCTACTTCACACAGAAAGACAGGGAGGCAAGGTCAGGAGCCAGGCTCGCTAAGAATTAGAAAAACATGTGAAGATGCAGCTTTTATGACAAGGAGGGGGGCTGTTACTAGCTATAAAAGTCTGTGAAAGTTGCTACCATTTTGAGACATGCTGTTGACCCTCTGCAGGCATCTCTCCCGTCCAGAATCAGTTAGATGTCTCCTTTCTCACAGTCGGGGCTGAAAGCCGACAGCTCGCTGATCCGGGTCCGCGCTTTGTGTTCACGCCCTTTATGCGCTGATTCTAAAGCTGTTAGTTTTATCTCTCTCCAAACAATATTGACCGAACCAGCAGCAAAAGAAGATCCAAACGCTTCACATAAACATCGTCATGAATTCACTCACTCTTTTACTGTTTTGTTTCCATTGCGATGCGCAGCTCTCTCTCTCTCCCTCTCTCCCTCCCCCTCTCCCCCGCCCCCCTCTCTCTCTCTCGAACAGTTTCCCTTTCTTCATTATTCGCTTGCTTGTTACGCACAAGTCTACTGTTGCTTACAGGCTGTCGGCCGCTGTTTTTTTCCCTTTTACATTCTTCCGAAAAGAAAACCTCATTTCTGCTGTTCAATACTGAACAAATTGAAACTTTTTAAAATTATTCAAAATGCAAAATGCTTAGCCGTGTCTCTAATAAAACCGCTGTAACGTCAGAGGTAATGTTCATTAATTAATGGTTTTCTTTCGTTTTTGATGTACTGCAGAATATTTTTATAAAATCCCAGGCCAGGAAAATCACCTTCATGTTTTTCTGTGTTTTATCTTCAGCTACTTTGACACAAAGGCATCTGCTGTGATGCTCACACCTTGGATAAAGTCTTGCGAGTGTCAGCTTCCTTTTTATAGATACAAAAATATGTAAATGTACTGATCTGAATTATATTTCTGACTGTCAAAATTTCCCAGATTTAAATCGAATCGAATCGTGGATCGAATCGATTCGATTCGGGACCTTGTGAATCGGAATTGAATCGATTCTAGAAATCAGTGACGATACCCAGCCCTAGTTCCTGCCACAAGTGGAGGAGTTCAAGTATCTCGGGGTCTTGTTCGCGAGTGATGGGAGAAGGGAGCCGGAGATCGACAGACGGATTGGTGCAGCGGCCGCAGTAATGCGGACGCTGCACCGGTCCGTCATGGTGAAGAGGGAGCTGAGTGTAAAAGCGAAGCTCTCAATTTACCGGTCGATCTACGTCCCTACCCTCACCTATGGCCACGAGCTGTGGGTAGTGACCGAAAGAACGAGATCGCGGATACAAGCGGCGGAAATGAGCTTCCTCCGAAGGGTGGCTGGACTCTCCCTTAGAGACAGGGTGAGAAGCTCAGCCATCCGGGAGGGGCTCGGAGTAGAGCCGCTGCTGCTCCACATCGAAAGGAGCCAGCTGAGGTGGTTCGGGCATCTGACAAGGATGCCTCCTGTGTGAGGTGTTCCGGACATGTCCCACTGGGAGGAGGCCCCCGAACTGTACTTTCACATGACAGAGGTCATGGAGGCAGCAGTCTGAGCAGAGACGTCTGGACTTTCCTCACCCTGACCACGTCATCCACCTCATCCAGGAGGGGAAACTGAGTCGCTCCCAAGCCATCTGAGAGACATAATCCCTCCAGCAAATCCTGTAAGTGCCTCGGGGCCTCCTCCTGATAGGACATGCCTGGAATACCTCTCAAATGACCAAGTTCTCGACAAGAAATTTTGACTTGTATTACAAAATACTATCAAAAATATATTTAAAAAAAAAAATTTTTCAGTGTGAAAATAAGCCTCCATAAAATATATTATCTTCTAGTTTAAAAAAGAAAAAGTAAGACACTGCTCCCTTATTTCCCACAGCAGACGGATCCACATATTTGAAGTGGGACAGAAGTAACCACTAACACACCATTTAAACACCTACTGTATTCCCATTGGTTAAAACTACATGGAGAACAGTTAAAGTCAGATTACCAAGTAGCACATCCCTGCACAGAAGTTATTTATTTAGTAAAAGTTGTCTTTTTTTTTGCCCAGGTGCGATTTGCAGCTGTGCATTTTTCCATTCGGCCACTGTGAGGGCATCCTACCTGCGCATGCAGTCGAGGGCCTGCGTGAAGACCTGCGGCGCCATGCCGTGCTCATGCTGCAGGATCAGGCACTGCTCCAGCGTGATGGACATGGCGGTGCGGTCTTTGGCGCTCTTGCAGCTGGTGAAGCGAACGCCGTTCAGCCGCCGGCAGATCTGAGATGGTGAGGCAAGCAGGGAGGAGAGGTGAGTCACCGCTGATGATTTCGTTTTTGACATCTTCAGAGAAAAGCAGCTGTAAAATTTATAATGCAGTAAAATCCTACTGGAGAATTAAAAGTTGCTAACAAAGCAGTCGGACATTCTGAGTAAAAGAGCGCAAATGTCACCTCCGCAGCCTGCCACAGGATGTCTACGTTCTTGTTTTTCCTGGCGTTGACATTCTGCCGGAGAAACCTGAGCAGTTCAGGAAGGCACGTCTGAGAGCGAGACCTCGGGAGGCCTGAAAGTAGATAAGAACAGAAAAAAGAAGGGTTAAAGCAGGAGTTGCGACACTAATGGTTTGTGGTGCAAGTTAGAAAGAAGGAAAAACGTGAAAACTGTGTACTCACAGTCCTCCGGCAGGACTTCTTTGAACTGCTCGTAGTACGAGTTCAGTCTGGAGAGACTCTCAGAGTTTATGTTCTCCTGCAGGGATGTGTCTCCAAACCTGAAAAACACACAAAACAATATTTTTTCCAATCTCAAACACCTGTGGTGGTAAATCCCGGACGTGCTCACTCACTTCTCGGCCAACGTCTGCTGCTCGTTGATTCCCACGTTGAAGTGCACCGGCTGCACCCGCAGCAGCATGCCGCTCTGGATCTCTCGGGGCAGGGCTTCGAACATGGGCCCCGGCAGCGGGATGCGGACATTGAAGCCATCCCGGTTACCTGTGATGATCGGCAGCATCTCGGGGGTGGAGGTGCCGGTTGCTTGGGTGACCTTAAAGGAGCAAAGGTACATGTATACGCAGCTTTAATACCTAGATGGAAATTGTGAACCAAGTGCCCGTGAAAAGCAAAATAAATACTCAATTAAAATTAACAGAGCCCGTCCAGCGAGGCTGCAAGTTTTTGAGCATGTCCTCAACTCTGCAGAGACCAAACCTCAGCTTCAGTATTAAACTGACTCAACTTTGATCACAAGCTCAATCAGAGAGGGATTTGTACTTTTGTATTAAAGATATGTCGTAACACCGAATTCTTCAGACTCCATAACCATACATTCACCTCCTCGTTTCCTCATCCTTCTTGACTGACCAGTGACCATGAGTACCATTCACAGAGAGCTGAGTTAGACTCTGAGCTCCCTGGAAAGATTGTATCGTTTTTTGTCCCACAGGAAGGGACAAAAAAAATCCAAAGCTTTCAAAATAAAAAACTGTTTTTGTGCAGTTTTAATGGACAGAGTCCATGTTTGCACTTTATAGCTTCACTCTGCTTGTTTACGTTTAACACAAAACTTTTCATGTCTTTTTTAATGCAAAGCCAGGAAAACTACAATAAAAAGGTCAGTAAACACATCCTCATTCAGTTGAGTTCTGCAGTACATTTACTCCAAATCGTGTCTTCAGAGTGGGTCTAATCTATGTGACCGTTTCCACGTTTCATGCCAGCTCCACCCAGACCTCTGGCCTCCTAATATTATCCTCGTAGAGTGGCTCTACAGCCTGGAAAGACAGTTAGCATGCTGCTTCACCTTAAAGGTGACGTTGCGTAGATCCATTATGCCGATGCTCATGTCCTCCAGCATGGCGAGCTCCTCTCCTGCAGACACACACACACTGGAAATCAGAGGCTCAAGCAGCTGTGTGCGATTAGAAAAAGCTTTGAGTGTGTTTGTACCGTAGGTGCTGAGCAGGGACTCAAACTGAGCAAGTAGGCCGATGGTGTAGAGCTGTCGCAGGAATCCGTTGTCACGGAGACAGTTCCTCAGCTTGATAATGAAGCCGCAGATGAGAGCGGTGAGCTGTAACACACACACACACACACACATGAACTCGAACAGCAGGTCAGACAAGAAAGAGTCAGTTTGTTGTTTTCCAAGCTCAGTTTTATAAACCTTTAAAGCAGCGGTCTGACACCATCATCAGCCAAAGCTACTGCTGCAAGCTGCTTTGCAACCCCGGTCCACGCCAGCCTCCCACCAGTCAACCTGTGGCTTACAATCAAAAGTGGGAAGTTTTCCTCCTTTCCTCCTTGCAACTGTTGCTCTAGTGTGACTGAGCTATAGTGTTCCTTTCGTGTTTAATATGAAACTGAGCTGCATTTGATGTCCCATCTGAAATCTGACGTCTGTGAGGTCGACAAATATGAGTACAGTGTTTTTCAACCATAAACCTGACCAAAAAAGCAATGAGGAAGCAAAACGACTCTATAGCTGTCTGTGTAGCACACTGATCATCACTACACACAAAGACATCCTGCAGTCTGAGCTCGGCATTAATCGCCTGTGTCTGTTGTCACTGATGCCTGCTGCTGCTGTGAATCTGTGCAGTTTAAATAAAGTCAAATTCAAAGTACTTTCACTGCAGATTCCTTGAAATGTTAAACGACACATGATTTAAGCTGTAATTACCACAAAAAGCTTACATTTAATTTACAATTCAGATCACACTTTCATTTTTAACGCACCCGACACTGACTGCAGTGTCGGTTTTTAAACCTGCATCATATTCTCGAATGCAAATCAACATATGGTTTCACATCAAGACACCACCGATTGGCTGCTTATCACATTATGTAAGTGGACTCATGCGGTTGGTTTCTGTGCATCCTTGTGCAGCTCAGCGTGTTGCGGCGCACGCTTTTGAGGACTGCACTGACAAGTTTTATGTAACTGATTTTCAGTTCACACTGCCAGAAGCTAACTTCACACGGATCTGACTGAAGACGATCAGAAATGTTATACACCCAACAAACCCTGAATGGCTGAGGATCACTATTGAGTTTGCAGTTGTGTGCTCTTAAATATGCTCTTTAATGCATGGTTGAAACAGAGTCTGAAATTCTGCCTGCAGAGTCCCAAACTCAGGAAGATATTTTTAATTTGATGAGTAAATATAACCCCCAGTATGTTAGACTGACCAGTGATTCTACGTTGGCCTTAGGTGCCTGTGATGGCGCCAATGATAGCTGGGATACGCTCCAGCCCCTCTGAGAACTGGACGAGCCATTAATGGCCCAGCACACTATAGTAAAAACAAAACGACAGCCATCTCTACAGCTAGGAAAGGAAAATAATAAATCCGACTGCCTACTGGGAGGCAACCTGTCTCCAAATAGTTGCAGTCCAACTCAGACCGACTGCAAGCACTCTGAGGCAGAATGATAAAGATCTGCAAATAACTGTTGTCTAATTTATAAACACAGACAGATTGTCAACATATTGCAATCAGTCTGCACAGATGAGCGCAGCAATTCTGGGACACGTGTTTTTACAATAGAGGACTGAACTTAAGTGGTTGCAAACTGGTTGTATCGTGGTTATGTGAAAATTGCCGAGTGCCAATGGAGGAATTTCTGAATTTCTCTGTCAAATCTACAAATGTAAGTAGTTGATGTGAATGTCTGTGTATGTAGACGGCAAGAGAGTTCAAATTTTCTCAGCTTTATCACAGTTAATCGCCGTATTATCAGACCTGGTCCCCGTCTTTGAAGCAACAATTTCAGAGGAAACAAGATCACAATGTGCATGGTGGGGGTTGTGATCATGCAGTGGCCTCCAACCACTGTTTTCCCAGAGTGTGACTGTAGCATAGGGAAAAACAATGGATGTGCCAGTGATGGAAGGCCACTCTCAACACATGTGGGTCATTTCTGAGAACTATAATCAAAGCATTAACAATGTCAGAAAACAGGATCTCACCGTCTTTAAACATTGCTTTGGAGCAATGAAACTCAAACCACTTGAATGGCGCAAAAAGAAATTTTAGAATATTTAGCTTTATGCTTTGAAAATGCTTGACTGATTACTTGTAAGTATTTCAGCTCTGATTATAGCTGACTATTATGAAATGCTATTCTTACTTCTTTACTTAATGCTTGGATTAGAGTTTAACTTGAAGTGTCTGAGTCCTGTAGCTGCTCATTTAAGAGCTGCAGGGATCCACCGCTGGGTAAATATAACTGATGTTAGTTAGACAAGAGGGTTTGCCAAAAACTACAATCGCAAAGAGCCTCTAAAATACTGAAGGAGGGATCCACTTTGAGGACTACATCTGGCATCATATCCTCTTTATAACTGCAGTCTCAGGTGAGTGGGAGTGTGAAATCCTTACTTGCTGTGCTCCCTTTGCCTTTACTCTTTACTCAGACATTTAATAGTCATATGAATACCGTAAAGCCACAAAGTCATAGAGCTCTGAACTCCTTGCTTTTACGATATTTACACTTTTCTTGGCCTTTTCCTTCACTTTGAGTCACTCCAGGATAAACACATCAGCTCAGACATACATTACCAGAAATATGTGTAGGTGAGTGTGTCTGAGTCACTTGGATGATGTTTGCGTGCTGACCGTTTGGCAGAAGACAATGTCGCGGCGGTACTGCAGTGACACGTCCATGGCTATCGTCGGGGCGGTGTCCTGCATGAGCAGGAAGACCATAGACTTCTTGGCTTTGTCGCTCATCATGGCAACGCAGTCCGTGAGCGTGGTAAGGAGAGGGTACAGTGCCTCGCTCCACTCGCCTGCAACAAGTACAAATAAACCATGAGAGACCAAGCACAAATATGCCTTCAAACCATAATTTCCACACCAAGTAGCAAAGATTGTGTTTTTCAGAGTCCACTTCTTGTTCAATTTGACAGAAACAGAAAAAAAGACAAGAGGGACAATGGGGAAAGGAGAAGCACACACACACTGAAATCTTTTAGGGTGAAGCCACAGGACTAGCCACAAATCCTGCTGGAAAGAACCTAAAAACACTTGCAGAGATCTGACAGAGCTGTTTGAGTCAAAAGCCTGCTGTCAGGCTTGTTCTTAAAAATAGGAAACGAGCTGAGTGTTACAGACCCTAGTCTTTATGTAAAGAAAAAGGTGCAAATTTAGAGCAGTCACAGCAGATTCTAAAACAGTGACACTGATTTGTGGGGGGTTTTTTGGACTGAGGGCAGATTTAGGTATTAAAAATGAGTCAATCACTGTAGCTATTAAAAAAAATAAATAAATAATGAGTTTTTGTAACTATTTCAGGGTTTGTTGGAGTTTACTCAGTCCAGACATTGGAATATCTCTGCCTGGACTTCTTATCAAAATCCGTCTGGAAAAGTGAGTAGAGTGAGAGGAGCACATGTGGGGAGGCAGCTCTTACCTGGATACGCCTCCTCAGCACTGGGGCTTCCATCTGGAAGAGGGGTTGGAGGTGCGACATGCATGATTAGCAGCACTGTACGCCATAGAGGGCAGCAGAGACAACACAGAAGAAACACTGCAGACCAGAGTCCAAACATCCTTATTCTCTAATGGCTCACGAGGAAGAACTCTTTTCTGTCTTATTTTATGAAAATCTAGTGTGTTTTGGGGGAATTTGGACAGATGTTGGACCCTGGTCTGCTACAACATGTAGAAAATCTCAGATACAACAGCTACATTGCTACAGTACTGCTGCAACACTGTGCACATAAAGACACGCAGACACACATAAAACACTGAACGCTTTTTAAAGACGAGTCATTTAAGAGCATTTTCTCAAGGAATAAAGTTGGCTGATGAGGTGAAGGAAAAATCTGCTCATGAATCCTCCAACTTCTTAAAAGTAAGCAGTGACCTGAGCTGAAAATAGATGTGGAGGATGACTCAAGAAGAAGAAGAAGAAGAAGAAGAGAAAAACAGGAAAAAAACAAAACCTACAGGTTTTCTGTTCGGGGCTGGGAGGCCGTGCAGAGGAGAGGGCAAGCTGAGAGGAAGAGGATGGTGGTGGAGATGATGATGATGGTGGAGGTGGTTCTAATGATGATGATGATGATGGTGGTGGTAAGGATGGAGATTCCTCTGACATACTTTCTGGGTTGATCCAGAAAGCTAAACACTTCCCACCATCGCCTTTTCACACCCACATAAAAAAATCAAGGGGTCAGCAAACAAGTTTAGAACTTTAGTATAAAACAACGAGAATATTTCAATTTTCTTATTTAAATAAATAAAGAGAACGGGTGGGTGAAATTGACTTCTAATTCCAAGTGGTGATAACTTCACACTATATCTGTCTATGTTGGAAACAAACAAGAGCAAAACTCTATTTCTCAGTATTTACTGTCTCTTTGTGGTATTTTCTCTGAACTCTGCAGAGCTGCTAACATCTTATCGGTGACTTGCGAGAGGTTTAACCTGCACTGGGTTTAAAGCCAGACTCCAGGAATACTGTCTTACTCTGTGGGACAGGGAGAGCCGAGGGATATAAAAAAAACAACGTAGTCCCACAACTGGGACATCTGCTCACTCATAACTGCAGATCTCATGGCTCCTATAAACGAGGTAAACACTGGGCTCATGAGCTTCTGGCCTCTTCTTAGAGTCTTTTTTTGCTGTAAACTGTGGTCCTGTGCAGTTTCTGATCCCTCACCTGTGCCGTCTGGTTTCACAACATAAAGGACCTCATAACTAAGAGATCCAAGCTGGTTTCAAAGTAATCCCATATTATTCTAGACTTTTTATACCAACTCCCACTCTTATGGCTCCCTAACTCACTAAAATGCAATCTTTTGACTTTGCTGTGCATTTTTTAGTCCTCCAGTTTGCAGATTCCTATTAATGGTACCAAAAGCATGTCAGTAAAGACATTTACCAGCTCTTGAATCATATTGACACTGTTTTCCTCCAACAGTTTACCACCTCTGAGCCAGATTAACATGTTAGCAACACATGCATCTCATCCCCCGGAAACAGTATAACACTGCAAGCATAAATTAAAGAGTGCTGATGAGAGGGCACAGAAGTAAACTACAGCTAAAAAACTGTAAGAGTCTCTTACCTTTCTTACTGCTGCCACCCTGCTGGTCACTCTGGGTACTGTCCTGACTGCCGACGCTGGGTCTCCTCTCTTTCTGAAGCAGCTTGTCGACGCGCTGGATGATGCACTCCAGAGACTTATCCACATTTGACCACACCTTCTCCTGAGAGGACATGTTTACAACATTCAGCTGTTTCAGCTTCAATTTTAGAGAGTAACAAACCAATCAAAAGAGCGTCTTTAAGTAATGTGCTAAAAAAGGAAAGGTGACACTTTGAAAATATTTATGTGCAAAAAAGGAGTAAAAACGTGCACGTCTCACACCACTCCTAATTTCTTTGTATATATGCTATAAATGTTTGCTTGTATGTAGTTTCAATTAGAAACTCTGAGCCTGAAAGTCAATATTTGGTGTGATCAGCTTTATTCTTCAGCACAGTCTGAACTCTCTTAGGCAGCTTTCTTGTCATGTCTTTAAGTCGTCTTCAGGAATAGTTCTCCAGGCTTCTTGCAGGACATTCAAAGCTCTTCTTGGATGTTTCTGCCTTTTGTTCTGTTCTCTGTCCACATGATCCCACACTGCTTCAATAATGTTGAGGTCTGGGCTCTGGGGAGGCCAATCCATGACTGGTATTACTCCACTGGTTTTCTTTTACTGCATTCCTTGTGTATTTGGGATCATTGTCATGCTGAAAAATGAAGCTGTTGTCAATCAGATGATTTCCAGGTGATATTTCTACGGTGGCCCTGAGAGGCCAAACGGACTGCAACTTAAGAAAACACCAGCAATAAGAAAAATGTTGCAAAGGCACACAAAACACAACGGAAATAAGAAAAACAGATTTCCAAAGCACATTTCTGTGGAAATGTTCAGGTACAAGGACTAGACTGAAAAAGAGTAAAAAAAATAAATAAAAAAAAAGTAGCCAGCGTCCAAAGAAACACTTTGAAACACCTTAAGAAAGCCTGGAAAAGTATTGCTCAAGAGTACTTTACAAACAAAAGATAGTCTGTCCTCCTGGAAACAAAATATAACTAAATGAGGGGAAGTTCAGGACACAGTACTGTTTTTATTGAAGAAATAAATTACAGCAGGGAATTATACTCAAGTCAGAGGAAGGAGAGGAGGAATTCAATCAGCGAAGATTCATGGATTTCATTACATGACCCTCGTCTCAGTACACAGAGGCAAAATGCACTCATGACAGTAATGTCACTTCAAGTTCATTAAATTTAAATAAAGATATTTTGCGCATCATTTACCACTAAGCAGTGTCAGAGAAGCCACCATTTCTATGAAGACTGTGTGATGACTGCATAATGTCTTTCCTTTGTCATTTGAAGTTCCTGTTCTTGTTATATGATATTTATCTACAGTAGTGATATAAAAAAACAAAACTTTGTTTTTTTTCTGCTACTATACTCAAAAAATGTGATAAGTGCAAAATCTAAATAACAAAGTGACAGAACTTAAATAATAAGATGGAAACTGGCACTGTTAAAGGATAATCATTTAAATATTCTGATGCGTAGTTGTGCATATATTTTCAATAACATGAGCTCAAAAGTTCACTTATAAGCATCCTGAAGCTTTAACCACCACTCACGTGTTTTTTCAGATACTGCGTTTTACTTATATTAGCTAACAGATGGCTAAAAATAAAAAAAGATTGAAAAATGAACCCAGAGCTTCTCCTTTTTGAGTTTCACCTGTTTTTTCTACTTTCAGTTGGAAATCTGTTAAATTACAAACTGCGTGTCCTCTTCTGAAGACTGGTTGTCATCCAGCTTGGTACAGAGTGTAGTTAAGATCTTAAGCTGTATGCACAACGCGTGCCAAGAAGCTCATTTGTTCTCATGCGAAAATAAATAAATAAATAAATCTGGAATCAAAAAACAGCCAAAAACTGCTGATGAACTCACCCATTCCTCTTCGTGCCAGTCCACATGCAGTGAAGACCGGCTGTTGCGACCGCTGTACTTTGCTGTCAGTGTGTCCTGGTCGTTGCGGAGCACTACTTGTTCGGACTCAGCTGAAGGAGACGCTTTGGAGGCGATTGTACTCGGGCCGCGCTGCGTTCAGGGCCTGAATAGCTGAAGCTAGCAGCTTGCAGTCGCACACTGTCACCAGCTGACGGGTCTGAAAGGAAGAAGGTATGAATGATATATGATGAAATAAGAAGCGTCCCCACGTAACGTCACATCACTTCCAAAACTTTTTGTACCTTATCAGCCAGACTGGCGAGCGTCCACTCCAGTCCGCTGGCCGATCGGTCTTTGGCAGCTCGAGACAGCCTCTCTGCGTAGTAGCTGACCTGAGTCTTCAGCGTGTTGATGTGGGCGATGATCTCTTTGGCTCGGACAATGTCCTGGGGTATGTAGATGATGGACTGAGAGCTGGAGAGGGCGCTACTGTAGGGAACAAAGACACACAGACACGTCTGTATCCGAGCTGGGACTGAGGATACTCTACACTCACCAGCCACTTTTTTAGGTGCTTTATTACTTTATTAGGTACATCTGTTCAACTGGTCATGGCAGCAATTTAATGCATTTATGGTCAAAACAACCTGCTGTAGTTCAAACTGAGCATCAGAATGGAGAAGAAAGGTGACTTAATTGACTTTAAATGGTTGTTTGGTCTGAGTATTTCACAAACTGCTGATCTACTAGGACTTTGTCAGACAACCACAACCACAGAAAACCATAAAGATCCAACTTTTGTCAGCTAAGATCAGGAAACTAAGGCTATAACTTGTGAGTGGCAGTTCACTGGGTAAAAATGCTTCAGAGGAGAATAGCCAGCCAGCCAGCTGATAAGAGGCAATAATAAGCCACCACTCATTACAACCAAGGTATGCAGAGAGCAGCTCTGAATACAGCAGAAGAGCACACCAGGTCCCGCTCCTGTCAACTAAGAACAAGAAAACTGAGGCTACAATTCACACGGGCTCACCAAATCTGGACAACAGAGAACTGGAAAAATGTCACCTGATCTGATGAGCCTGAATTTGTGCTGTGACATTTGGTTGGTAGGGTGAGAATTTGTCATAAACAATATGACAGCATGGATCCATCCTGCCTCAGGTTGGATGAAATCATCTCAAACTGGTTTCTTGAACATGAGGATGAGTTCACTGTACTGAAATGGGCTCCACAGTCACCAGATCTCAGTGCAACAGAGCACCATTGGGATTTTGGTAGAACAGGAGATCCACATCATGGATGTGCAGCTGACAAATTTGCAGCAACTGTGTGATGCCATCAAGCCAATATGGACCGAAAACTTTGAAGAATGTTTCCAGCACCTTGCTGAACTGTGCGATAAAGAATTAAGGCAGCTCTGAAGGTCCAACCCGGTACTGACAAGGTGCACCTAATAAAGTGGCCTGCAGGTGTATATTTTTGTAATGTTTCTGTCTTATGTCTGAAATATGCTCAGCAGGAAATATACGCTGTAACTGGAAACAGAATACTATAGCAGCAACCTGTTTAGGTTTAAGAAGGGTTTCGGTTACGTCTTAAGTTAGAACGTAAACTTCCTGCAGAAGTCTAAATCAAGCTTCAGAGGGTCTGTTTCAAAAACGTAGTGAGAGACATTACCCACTACTCTTAACTTTAGTGTTTCACAGATGTACAAACATACAGTGTCTGCATGCACATGCCTGCTCTTAATGGACCGGAGAGACAACATGGAGCAGACTTCAATAAACGCCAGGGACGGGGAACGATACCACTCGCTTCACAAATTCAGACCATCTCATGTAGAAGAATTTTAAAATGTCTCTTTAATATTGTCAGGGTTTGACTTTTTAAGCACAGAAACATGTTTTAATGGACTTTAAATGATGACTGAATTCATAAAGTGAGCAGTATTCAAACAACTTTGTGACAAACCTTGTGCTCGCTTTAAGACGACACACATTTTAGTTCTATATTAGTTAACACAACACTGTTAAGACTGATGCGCCACGTGCCGTTATTTCTTTGCATTAACATAATAAGCTATGCAAAACCCCATTCTTCCAGCTTAAAACTCAAAATACATTGTTGTACAAATCTTAAGGATCTATGAAAGTGTGATTTTTTATTTTGTATTTTTTTAGAAGTGTCAAATGAAAACAAGCAAAGCAGTGCAACGACTCACCATTCCTCCTCATATACGCTGATCGGAAAAGTAACAAAAACAAAATTAAGAGGAAGCCATAAAAAGGGAACTGCAGGATTAATGCAGAAATTGAAGAAACAAAGATGACAAAAAAAACAACAACTGTTTAAATACAAATCACAAGATGAATAAAGCAAAATATAAAAACCCAAAACAGGAGCAGAGGTCATCGCAACTTGCTTCCCCCCACCTCTTTCATTTTCCTATGTGACGCCCACTTTGTGCTCAACTTACTGTTTCTTTGCTTCCTCGAACTTCTGGATGATCTTCCTCAGACCGCCGTTCTTAAAACCCTGGCAGTGAGCGGCCGGGGCGCCGACTGTTACCACATCATATGTCTGTTCTGGAAAGACAAACAAGGACGTTTTAAAGGCACAACAAGAAGTGCGTGCAATCACAGCAAGATTTGTTTTTAATAATTTGTATTCGTGTCTAACCAAAACCCAGCTCATCCTGCACCCTCATCCTCTGAACGTGAAGGTTAGTGGGCATGAACTCCAGCTTCTTGTCTGCTTTCAGGTTACTGGCTTTGAATGATGGGCCTGACAAAGAGACGAAGAAGCTTAGTCGTTATCTTTTTAACTTTTTCTTTTAGGTGTACTCGGGCCTGCACGTACACTGACCTCTGTATTCACTGAGGTCAGACAGTGTCTCTTGGTAAGCGAGTATTATGTTCTGGTACTGAGAGACGATCTGCCGCCGCAGGTTCTCCCAGCAGGGGGACAACTCTCCCAACTCCTCCAACTCACAAACCTGCAGACGGAATAGTTAGAAAGAGGAAAAAATGAATCATCAAGTACTGCGCTCGCTTCAATATGCATTTCAAATGACTTTCAATAAGAGCTGTGGCAATTATCCATAATCAGAAATAATTTCCATAATTTAAGGAATTTCTCTGATTTCAGCTTCTCGAACGGGATAATTTGTTGCTTGTTTTGGTTTAATGTAACATCCTTTCATTTATCCTCCCTCTCCTATACATCCAGGTTCAAGGTCATGGGTTTGGTCAGTTTAAGCAGAGAAACTCAGACCTGCCTTTTCCTGGCCGCCTCTTCCAGCTCATCTGGGGGAAAACTGAATTATTTCCAAGCCAACTGAGAGATGCAATCTCTCCACCGAGCCCTGCTCTGCCCTGGGGCCTCCTCCCCACAGGACATGCCGGAAACACCTCACCCAGGAGGTATCCATAAGGCATCCAAATCACATGCCAGAATCACCTCAGCTGCCTCCTTTTGATGTGAAGGAGCAGTGGCTCTAATCCAAATGTCTCCCCAATGACTGAACTCTTCCATCCTATTACAAAGGCAGAGGCTGTCCACCCTTCAGAGAACGGTTATTTTGTCACTTCTATCTGCAATCTCATTCTTTCTGTCACTATCCAAAGCTTGCGATCATAGTTGA